TTCACTGTTATCAACCTCATAGTAACAGATATGAAAGTGATGAGTCATCCAATGCTGTGCAAAATGGGTTTAAAAAAACTGAAGCTAAACATTTATTGAATGTTTATTTGTGGTGTTCATGAATAAATGATCCTGATGTCACCTGTTAAATTATAGCTATATACTTTTACTCTGATTCTACAGGTTCCCTTTAGGTTGCAGGTTCAATATAAGAACAGTAATTCAAAAGTAAAGCTGATATAACTAAAATGTTCACAAATCAAGAGATTCAAAATCTCTATCAAAATTGCCACAGACGTGTGTTTGATAAAGCTTAATTAAGATTTACATGTAAATTCACTCTAATTATTTTCTAAAGCATTGGCGTCTTGTTTTACTTGGTATAGTTTTACATTTTATTATTACATTTTTATGTTCTTATACATTTTTAATCACCATTTTGTCATTATTATGTAATAATGTCACAGTTGGTGTCACTCACGGGGATCATTTTGTGTGGTAGAAATCTCATATGGCACATTCAGCGCTCCCTTTGAGCCAGATAAGGCAAAGAAAGCCTGGCTGTGCTGCACTTCCTTAGTAATACACTTATCTGGGCTATGTGTGAATTCATGTGTTATATCAAACAGTACATTTGATTAGCAGCACATGGCTGCTGCTTACTCTTATTATTCCTACGGAAGCAGAAAGGATGTACTTAGTCTTTTATTATAGTTGTTGTTAATTAAATAATGAAATGGTTTGATGTGTTTTGTTGCTTATTCAAGTCTGTATGTAAGCAATGACCTTATAACAATCTAATGAGTTTTTATTATGTGCTAATGCATGAAACCTGAACGAGGGTGTATTTTTTTTTTTTGATGACAGTATAAAAAATGGATTTACTACTCCTGGAAGTCATGCAAAGCTTCATTAGGACACGATCATCTCTTTGCAGGCATTAAGAGATGCAAAATAAGGCCACGCTAACGTGGGTTTCACATTTTCAACATGGGTAACAAAACAAATTTACATTTAGAAAACTTTTATCTACAGATATTAAAACTTTACATGAAATATCTTGAGGTTTGATTACAAGCTTGTCTTTTTCTAACTGAAGTATTTGATCTCAAAAATCAAAGATATACATTTTTCAAAGTTCAAAGTGTTATTATCCAAAGTAAATCAACAAATGTTTCGCCTTTGTTACCTGGCCGGGTAACAAACTGTACAGCATATTAAAGCACATGTTTTTATCTTTGTTGGCCAGGTGCTGTTAGATAGTGTGCAATATTTTCAGCCAATCATATCCAGCAATAAAAGCTTGTGTCCCGCCCTTTCTCCTCATAACTGTTCACATTCGTGCCTCTCCTCACTTCCACCCA